TCAAGGCAAGCAGATTTTTCCAAAAGAGACCATGCCCCAGGCCATTCCGACAATGGGCTTTCGAGACCTTTCCCAAAAAGAAGAGAGCCTACGTCATTGGTGAAGAGATCAATGGAGGAAACAAGATGGGCTCAGTTGATGCGGAGATGAGTCCAGCGGGGGAAAGCCGGGAAGGCCCATGATAGAGTATCTGCACGAAGAAGACATGCCCAATGCCCATTGACCTGATTGAGAATTTCACCCAAAAAAACGTTTCTTAGGTCATTATTGCCCAAGAGATCTGCATTCTCCATGAATGGAAAGATGGAATAGACCCATTCTTGACATATTGGTTCCACAAGGGAGAAAAAAATGGTGTCATTCTTTAAACTTAGTCATCAAAGAAGGTTATTGTCAAAATCCCCTGTTTGTTTCCTCTTCCGTGGACCAAGACTCGGAGGCTAAAAACATCAAATTTAACATATAGAATACGTATAATTTAGCCATGCAAATGTATTAAAGCTGAAAATAGCTGGCGTAGTCCTTCAAACAGGGAACATAACTACCTGGCATGTCTTGAATGGCTTGTCAAATCCACCTATCATGAAGTTTCAATGGAAATTATCATTTCTGATAGTGTATATATTTATATATTGTGTACATGAGAGTAGTTTAGTCATTACAAATATATACTTGCTATTGTGTATAAATACTGTAAACCCTAATCAAGTCAATGTATGAGCAACTATTCTCTTTTTGGTATCAGAGCTCCAGTTCGGCACCTAGGATATTCCTTTTGTTCCTTGTTCTCCATCTAGAGTCTTAATCTTAGAAATCATGTCTACCGATCCTGTGTCCTCTAATATTTCTGCACTCTGTTTCTGCAACCATTCCTACTGTTACTGTCGGGTCTGGCACCACTGTCTTCTCCACCATTCCTACTGTGACTACTTCACTGTCCTTTATCACTACCCCTATTGCCTCTCATCTTCCAATTATGTTGCCTTCTCCTACAATCAAAACTCCTGGATTCTCATCGCTGGTTTCCCCTGTTTTCTCACATCCAGTATTCACCATTTCTAATATTAAAAATCTTGTCCCAGAGACCTTAAATCATCAGAATTTTACCTTGTGGCGTGAGCTAATGATCCCTGTTTTCAATAGTAAGGGAGTTTTTGGGCATATTGATGGCACCGATCCTTGTCCTTTACCCGGAGATCTGATGTTTGAAGCATGGACACAGATTGATTATCAGATATTATCATGGATTCAAGCAACTATTTCTAGTGAAGTTTTGCAGATGATTATTCAGCCTAGAAAATCCCTGTCAGCAAAGGAGGCATGGGATGCTATTCATGTTGCTCATCCAAATCAATTGGATGCTCAAGCTTTATTTCTTCAGCAGGATTTTTCTTCCATCCGTAAGCAGCCTGGACAAACAATGATGAGTTGTCTACAATATGTGAAAAATATAGTTGATAAGTTATATAAATATAGTTGATAAGTTATATGGTGTTGGGCATGCCAAAACAGATCGAGATGTGGTTTTTCAGGTTCTGGCTGGATTGGATTCTGACTATAATGTAGCCAAGCGCACGATTCCTCAACGAGTTCCCTTCCCGTCATTCTTGGAACTGCATTCGTTACTTTTGATTGAAGAGGTTAGTGTTCAACGTGAGAAAGGGACAATTTCCCAGCAATTATTACCGGATGCATCGCAGGTTCTACAAGCCACTGTTCAACCGTCTCCACAATCTTCCACTGCTGTTCCAATGTCTTCATATCAAATACATGCTACTAATGTTGCACCCAGATCTGATTTTCTTGGTTTTTCAAGAGCTAATGGACGAGGTTTTCCTCGTGGAGGTCGTCGTGGTTCACGTGGTGGTTGATCTGGTCGTGGTTCTTATAATTCCAGGAGTTCTTTTCAGCAATATAGTGCTGGTTTTGGCTGAGGGAATGGTGCATTTAGTGGTCGTGGTTCCGTGCCTCCTAGTGGATTACCGCTTATTTTACCTACACCACCTGTTGCCTCCTCTCTACTTGCTTGTCAATGATGTGGACAGTTGAGTCATCAAGCTAGAGAATGTCCATAGTTGGTTCGGCCACCCTTTGTGTCTCACCAAACATATTTTGCTACACCTTCATATCCACCTCCTACTTTTGATCCAAACTGGTACGTTAACAGTGGTGCCATGACCCATGTTACTGGTAATTTGGGTAATCTTTTAACCTCTTCTGCTTATTCTGGTTCTGATTTTATATAGGTTGGTAATGGTCAACTTCTACCTATTACTCAGTCTGGTAGTGCTATTCTACCTTCTTTACATCAATTTTTCAAACTAAATAATGTTCTTGTTTCTCCTCGTATCACTAAAAATTTAGTCTCTGTTCATCAATTCACAAAGGATAATGATTGTAGTATTGATTTTGATTCTTTTGGTTTTTCTATTAAGGAAAACAAGACGCAGAGAGTTCTTTATCGTTGCAATAGTCCGGGGGGATTGTATTCCTAGTCCAGTGGGTCTCCTAGTTATCCAACTACTTTTTCTACTTCAACTGTGTCTTTTGATGTGTGGCATCTTCGTCTTGATCATCCAGGGTTAGAGTCTCTCACTCATCTTCAAGTGTGGTTCTATCTCCTCCAATAAGAAGCCTTTTTCCTTTTGTTGTACCTATGATTTTGATGATTACAAAACACATTTAAGTGACTAATTGGTTCATTTAAGTGTGTAGTTAAAATGTCAAAAGATTACAAAATAAGTAAACTTGGACTGCACTAAAAATGAATCAAAAGGCTTGAAAATGTGCAGAGAGCCAGTTATTGAAACTTGCAACCGGCTGTTGAAACTTGCAACCGGCTGTGGAAGTGCAGGAGCCAGCTCTAGAAGCTACAATCGGCTCTATGGTTAAAAAGTTAAAAGCAAGTTGTTTGGCACGCGTGAAGAAAAGATGCAAAGTTGGCTCCAACTTTGCAACTGGCTGTGAGGGTGCATTTAATGCACAACAGTCGATGAAGATTATTTAATATGTTTAAAGTTGGAATCCCAAAGTCAGCTCTAGGCTTTGCAGTCGGCTGTGGAAGAAAACAGAATATGTAGGAATCTCGCAAAGCCGACTACATAATTTTTGAGCTGGCTCTACGGAGAAAACAGAATGCAGTAAACCCGCAGAGCCAGCGGCAGAAAAGATAAGCTGGCTCTAGGAAGTTAAGCCGGCTCTCCTGACAATCTTGCAACTCGAGCTTTATGTCATGCAGAGCATTTAATGACCCCTAACGGCTAGTAACGGCTATTTTCGACCATGGGGTTATAAATATAGTTGGTAAAAGATCTGAAAGAGTTTTAGAGAGTATTGCATTGAATATCTTTACCTACCTACATGTGCTTTAACTTGAGTTTTTTTATCTTTGAGAGATCTTTACTTGTAATCCTCTTTTTTTTGTCTATTTGTGAGTGATCTTGGGGGTGTGATTAATCCTCCAAGAGTGATCTATAGAGAGGATTCTTGGGGTTTATATTGTAAAGGGTGAGATTTGAGAGAAACACCCTTATTCTTGTAAAAGAATTGAGTGGCTTCTTTAAGCTACACTTGTTGTTATTAGTGGAGAGTGTGGAGGAAATCCTTGGTGAGTGAAGCAAAGGTAGAGGACTAGGCTCCAAGTGGTTGGACCGAACCTCTATAAATCATTGAGCAAGCTCTTCTTCTCTACTCTCTTTAATTTTGGTTTTGTGGTTGCAAAAAGGGGAGAATTTTTGGAACTCCAACTCGCCCCCTCTCTTGGAGTACATTGAGTCAACACCCTTCATTCTTGTCATGCTTGTCAATTAGGGAAACATGTTCGTCTTCCTTTTCAAGAGTCTATATCAATTGCTTTAGCACCTTTTGATTTAATACATTCTGCTCTATGGACCTCTCCAGTTGAATCTTTTAGTGGTTTTAAATATTATTTATTATTTCTTGATAATTATAGCCATTATTTGTGGGTATATCCTTTACATTCTAAGTCTCAAGCTTTCTAGTGTTTCCTTCAAATTTCTGCTTATATAGCTACCCAATTTGGTGCTCGAATTAAAGCTTTTCAATGTGACAATGGTTGTAAATTTGATCATTCCCAATTTATTACTTATTTTCAAACACATGGAATTCACCTCCGCTCTTCTTGTCCCTCAACTCCTCAACAAAATGGGAGAGCTGAGCGAATGAATCAAACAATCATGAATATGGTTCGTTCTTTGTTATTTCAAGCAAATTTGCCTGGTAAATTTTGGGTGGAAGCACTTATTGTTGCTGTTCATCTAATTAATATTTTACCATCTTCTAAGCTACATTTTTTGACACCCCATGAGGTATTATTTGGGCTACCTCCTACTTATGATAATTTATGGGTTTTTGGTTGTGCTTGTTATCCTAATCTTTCAGCCACATCTCTGCACAAGCTTACGCCTCGTTCTACATTGTGTATTTTTCTTGAGTATCCTGCTCATCATAAAGGAGACAAGTGTCTTGATTTGAGCATACAAAAGATTATAATTTCTCGACATGTTGTTTTCAACAAGGCTTCCTTTCCATATAGTGCCTTTGTTTCATCTACAGGCATGGTGTAGAGAAATCCTTTACCCTTTAAATACCCTTTTCACCTCATGGACTCTATCCAGCCCATTGGCCCACTATCCAACCACCCATCCATAGCCTAACCCGCAGCTTCCATAGCACATCCTCAAGCCCAATCTGATCTTCCTTCGTGCACCCACCCCCTCCAACCTTCTGCGCAACCTGCAGCTTCCCTCTCCCTTGAATTTGACCCAATGGCACCTTCCATAGCACAACCTACAGCTTCCACGGACCGATCTGAGCAATCTGCATCTTCCACAGCACCACCCACGGCATCCACAGACAAATCTGTGGCACCCATTTCGGCGTCCCCTATGACCATCGGTTCTTCTTTACCACCCAATTCTTCGTTGCCTGCCCACCGAACACGTTCAATGGTTACTTGGTCACAGGATGGTACACGACAGCCCCGAATCTTACCATCTATGGTTACTGATCATGTTTCTTTACAGGAACCTCGCTCTTTCAAGCAAGCTCACCAACTTGCTGAATGGCGTCAGGCAATGGTTGAGGAGTATTCCGCTCTTCTTTGACACAAAACTTGGGTTCTTGTTCCACGGCCTATTGATGTGAATGTTGTAGGCTCCAAGTGGGTTTTTAAGGTCAAGCAGCATGCAGATGGTACTCTTGCACGGTATAAAGCTCGTCTTGTTGCTCAAGGCTATACTCAATAATCTAGGGTGGATTATGGTGAAACGTTTAGCATAGTGGTTAAACCAGTAACTGTCTCAAGTTCTTGGCCTATTCATCAATTAGATGTCAAGAATGCCTTTTTGAATGGATATTTATCTCAGCCTGTATATATGCATCAACCTCTTGGGTTTGTTAATCAACAGCATCCTGATCATGTTTATCTCTTACAACGAGCTCTTTATGGCCTCAAACAAGCTCCTCGAGCTTAGTTTCAACGGTTTACTGCGTTTCTGCTTTTTCGAGGTTTTGTTTAGGTTTTCACTGATTGTTCCATGTTTGTGTTTCGGTCTGCTGGATCCATGGCTATTCTTCTTCTATATGTTGATGACATTATACTTACTGCCTCTACATCAGCTCTCTTGAATTCTATTATTTCTTTACTGAAAGCTGAATTTTTTATGACTGATTTGGGACCTCTTAGCTACTTTCTGGGTATTGCAGCACATTTTAACTTTGATGGTTTATTTCTTTCTCAGTCTAAATATATTATTGAGTTGCTAGACAAAAGTGGCATGACAGATTGTAAGGCTGTTTCCACCCCTTTAACTCCAAAGCATAAGCTATAGGCTCATGACAGCAAACTTTATTCTGATGCTTCTAGTTATCGTAGCATTGTTGGGGCTTTACAGTATTTGACTTTTACCAGGCTTGATATTGCTTTTGTCGTTAACCAGGTATGTCAGTATATGCATGCTCCCACAGTGAATCATTTTCTACGATAAAGCGTATTCTTCGTTATCTTAAAGGCACTTTGCATCATGGTATTCAACTCTATCATGATTCTTCTTTTTCATTGCATGCTTATACTGATGCTGATTGGGCTGGTTGTTTGATACACGTCGCTCTACTTCTGGCTATTGCTTATTTTTTGGTCGCTCACTTATTTCTTGGTCTTCTAAGAAGCAACATACTGTTGCTCGCTCTAGTGCTGAGGCTGAATACAGGGCTCTTGCAAATGTAGTTGCTGAAGTTCTTTGGGTCAAGTAGTTGTTAGCTGAGTCGTTCCTTTTTCTTCCTTCTTCCCCCACTGTTTTTTGTGACAATATCTTTTTTTTGGTAATATTTTTTGTGACAATATCAGTGCTCTATATTTGGCACTTAATCCTATTCAGCATCAACGGACTAAACACATTGAAATTGACATTCATTTTGTTCGGGAAAAGGTGGCTCCTAGCATCATTCTTCTTCGGTATGTTCCATCTTTTTTGCAACGTGTTGATATTCTCACGAAGGCTTTATCTGCGTCAGCTTTTTGCTCACAAAGATCCAATTTGAGCATGTTATGTAACCCAGCTCAAATTGCGGGGGGATGATAGTGTATATATTTATATATTGTGTACATAAGGGTAGTTTAGTCATTACAAATATATACTTGCCATTGTGTATAGATACTGTAAACCCTAATCAAGTCAATGTATGAGCAATTATTCTCTTTAATTTCTACTAGTGTCAAAACTAGAAGCATTAGTCTCTTTTTTGCCTTTTTTTTCTTCATGACTTGTCCACAAAGTTGTTTTTTTTTTTTTTTTTTTTTTTTGGTGAAAGTCTTGTCCACAAAGTTGCCATTGTAGACAGGCACTGTATTTCCTCACTTATTCCTTTAACAATCCTCATAAAGAAGAAGAAGAAAAAAATGTAGAATTTTCAATTGTGGCCCACTAAGTTTGAAAGTATGCATTCTGCCAAGAAAAAAGAAACTTGGTAACCTCAATCCATTTAAATGAAGTAGTCAACCTTGTAATTTGAAGAAAAGCTGGAAACATTATATAGCATGGTACACAATTTTCTTAGCTCATTACTGCCAAGAAAATGATATCCAGGATGTTGACTATGACATTACATATACCAGCCTTTCCCTTTTATTTTTAACATTTTTGTTTCAATTGATGATGCTTTACCGTCCTTGCAACGTTGAAATTGTTACTCCATTTGAAACACGTTCATGCTGGCTTGATGAAGCCTCTTCTTCTGGTAGATTCCTTTCGGTGTAAAAACCGGGAAGTTTTGGTTGAGGCAATGAATTCTCACTGGCCAACATTAGAACCACAGATGACATATCTGGCCTGTCCTCTGGTCGTTTTTGGACACATAGCAGAGCCACATGAATGCAGCGTAGAACCTCAGAAACAGTGTAAGAGTCACCTAACATGGTGTCCATTACTTCCAGTGCTCTTTCTTCCATCCATAATCTCCATGTCTAAAAATATTAAAAATCAAATACATGTATAGCATTGAAGGCCAAAAAGAAACAAATATGCATTGCATTGTTCAAGAAAGTAATTTTTTGTTTCTTTATGCTTACATGTCCAAGAAGATTATGGTTGTGATCCGGGTGGCAAAATCCTCTATTCTTCTTTCCACTTATGATCTCGAGCACTATCACGCCAAAGCTAAAAACATCAGATTTTATTGAGAAGTGTCCATCTACTGCATACTCAGGAGACATATAACCACTGCAAAAATGTCATTACAAGTAAAGTGAAAAACATGTGGTTGTAGATACAAATACCTATATTCTCCATTATATTCACTTCTACTTACTAAGTTCCAACAACTCTATTTGTGTTTGCTTCAATTTGATCTCCCTGAAACATTCTAGCCAACCCAAAGTCTGAGATTTTTGGGTTCATATCTTTGTCTAGTAGGACATTACCGACTTTGAGGTCCCTGTGGATAATCCTCAATCTAGAATCTTGATGAAGATAAAGAAGTCCTCGAGCAATTCCAACAATGATATGCATCCGCCTCTGCCAATCTATTAATGTCTTCTTCGTTTGATCTGGAAAATGTACACATTTTAGTCCACTTCCTATAAAAAATGAAAGATTATTTTTGTAGAAGGTTTGAGAATCAAACCAAAGATAAAATAGTCCAAACTCTTGTTGGTCATATATTCATAGATCAACATCTTTTCATCTCCTTGAATGCAGCAACCAAGAAGCTTAACAAGATTACGGTGTTGAAGTTTGGCAATCAGTATAACTTCATTTTTGAACTCTACCATTCCTTGCCCGGAGCTTTTTGAAAGCCTCTTAACTGCTATTTCTTGCCCCTCTGCCAATGTTCCCTAGAAGATTCATCATTCATAAATATTTATATTTGTTGTAAAAATTGTAGCTCATTCATATAGTTTTTTATTTTTAAATAAAAAATTACCTTGTAAACAGGTCCAAAGCCACCTTGTCCTAGCTTGTTGTCACTTGAAAAGTTATCTGTTGCTTTCACTATGGTGGCTAAATCGAATATTGGTAAATCCATCTCCTCATTTTCGCCTCCTCCTTGCTTCCTTAGTTTCTTGATCCTTATGTAGCATAATAATCCAATGAAAACCATTCCAGTCAACATTACAGAGCTGACAATAATCGCTACTTGCTTCTTACCATAACCTGTAACATTAGATATAGTTTTATTGGCTCTATGCATTGCATAATACATAAAAATATGAAAGCTAAGCTAATTAAGCTACTAACGCAACATGCCTTAAAATTTAAGGAAAAAAAGCAGTAATTATCCTCCAAAAGAAAATTTCATTGAGTTAAAAGAAGCGATTCACTAGCGTTTGATTCTGCCATTTTGGCCTTTGATCAATCATAATAATTCAGAGGAAAGAGAGTCTTCTAACTGAAGGCAACTTTGGTACCTAGTGACATAAAAAGAGAAGAGTAAATACCTGGTTTTGGCTTAGCTTTTCGTATGTAGAGGTCTTGCCCGCCTTCAGTGTATTCTCTCATGTCAACAAGCTCATCAAACCAAAGCAGGCATCCACTTCCTCCATTGCTGATATTTGAATTTGCGTAGGCTGTGCAAGAGCAGTTCCTAAAACAATTTTCTCTGCATTCTGTGAGGCTCATGCTTGTGTTAAACTGAGAATTTGATGTGTCTGGCAATTTAAACCCTCTAAACCTTTGAAAGTCATCATTTCTGCAATCCAAATTAGACTTTCGAACACACCCACTAGACCAGTTTGACGCCCTCCATTCCTTAGGGGACTTCGGTTCAAATCCATCCAAGCAAGCACATACTGTAAGAGAGTTAAAGGTTCTGCAGCTGGCATATGCACCGCATACTGCATAATAGTCACATTGATCAAGTGGTGCAGCATATATCGGAGTCCAACCTAATAGTGGAGTTGCTCGGGCAAAGCGTTGAAGAAAGCCTGATTGGTTCACCACCAACCTTGATAGCAGAGAACTTTGAGGATTTTGAAGCTCCCATTCGTAAGATACCTCATTCTTTGTTAACTGAAATTCATACTTAAAGAGGCGAAGTTCTTTCAGCTCAGGAGACCCTGTAAAACGAAGTCCATTCCATGACCCTACTCTAAAATGCATTTTATGTCCCTCCCTAACAACTAGCTGAGGAAACCCTTGAGGATCTATGGATGCTGAAAACTGACCTGGAGAAGGATTATTTGGGCTCTTCCAAGTTGATAGAGATCTAACCTGACCGGTAACAAAATTCTTCCCAAGCTTCATGCCAGGTAGCAAGGTGTCACAAGGATAATCAAAACTCTGCCACAAAGCCTTCTCTGAGTCGGTTTCATTTCCATCTTTCACAACAAGATTTCCAGAATCCAAGAGCTGCAAAACTGGATTTTGAGCAGTTCTTGATTTATTGGATGACCAAACTCTGCTATTTCTTTCATCAAGCAAGACAAGAGTACCTTCATGAGTGACATTTAAAACTCCAAAATGATTGTTTAGTGGAGCTTCCCTGTTGGCTACCCACACAACCGTCCTAGGAGAAACATTTTTGTACCATATTCCCAAGTATCGGCCTTTTGAATTGCCTGGACTGAAAAATCCTACTTCAAAAGCTCCAACAGCTGAAACTAGAGTGTCACCATCTCTGTCTCTGATGGATTGATCCGGACTGATACTGTCTGTTGCAGCAAAGTTTCCATAGATAAATAACATAAAAATGCAGGCAAAGAGCATTTGGAAGCTTTTAATCAGTTTCCTCATGCTAGTCCTAATGGTTTAACTCTATGCTCAATTCAAGTCTGAAACATCTACATATATAGGGAAAGTCATGTTGTCCTAGTGCAATAAAATAAATCCACTAAGGTTGTGGAGTTAAGGCTATTATTGGACTATTTCAAAGGGAAGAAGAAAAATAGCCTAATTTGCCAAGAGTCAGCCTTATTGGGTAGGTAGGTTCTCAAGTTTGAAGGTCAATTTTCAGTTTTAAGAAATTTAAAGTTGAAAGCAATTGGCATTCAATATTTATGGTACAAAGTGGTTGGAGTGAGGTGCCAAAAACAACTCCTGCCGACTTCTTAAACCAGTGTTAATCATGAAACCTCAAGCCATGTGCCTGTGGAATTGATTTTAACTTCAGCAACAGTTCGGTCATTTAATGGACCTGAATATACACAATTTTCATATTAAAAAAAAAAAAAAGATAAACAAAAATTTGAAACTAAGGAAAACTATTGTAGTGGGTTAAAGACTATGATCATATAATGTGATTAATAGCAAAAATGGAGACATGTTAATCAACCTTCACTGAATCAATCAACTCAACCGTATCAGAACATACCATCTAGTGAAGCGTCCTGTAATTTTTTGTATCACCGTATCAACCAAAGTATTTGCTTTCAAAGTAACATGGTATGAATGTTGAGAAAAGCATAGAAAGGAACGTTAGCAGGGTTAAGCATTCTGGACTCTTACTTGCTTTGCCAAATTGACTGAATGACCCTCAATCCCTTTCAGCATTAACAGGAAATTGAAAGTCAAGATCTGTATTAAGAGGTAAACAATCAACAGTGTCATTGGTTGGCAACTTTAATGGGACAGGCCTTTTTTTATTTTTTTTTTAATGAAATGGGACAGGCATTTAATCGATGAAAATGGCTACTAGTTCATTTTACTCAGTCACAACATGTATTTTTAAGTATATGCTTTTTTATAATATATAAATAATAGTGCTGAAAGTTTTTTCTACTATGTAATTCTTATTAAGTAATTTCATTTTATAAAATATATATCCTGTTGTTCTTACTCGGAAGGAAAGATCAATTTCCTTGGTAAGTTTAAGCTAGTCTTGAATCTAAGGGAGAAGCCACCATCATATACCGTTACATACGAAACAAAATGGATACTTTTTTCTGTAAGTTATAGTCCCTAATACATATTTCAGGTTCGAATCTCTCGTTTCCTTGTGTTGCATATTTATTGCGGTATGTAATATATTACAATACAGGTTCGAAGTTTGAAGTTTTAGCGAGCTTCCATATCTGACATTGTTACCTCATTTACGGAGCAATTCTCTGCCCTGCTGCCAAGACATGTGTTTGGATTTCCTACACTTCTCACATTTGAGAAAGCTGGTTCTTTTGGGGACGGTAAAATGGTGAGTTCATTATTCAGCATTGAGACAACACTGGACATGGTCGGCCTGTCAGTTGCACGTTCTTGAACACAAAGAAGGCCAATGTTGATGTATCTCATTGGTTCATAGGCAGAGGAAATAGATCGTTGCCCAGGATCCATCAGTTCTAGAGGCCTACCACTCGTCCAAAGATCCCATGCCTAATGAGGAGATAAAAGGAGGAAGGAAAATTTAATGTATCTTGTACCCATGTTCAATTACAAAGACATGACTCAGTAATGTACATGTGCATCAAGAGCAGCCATAATCTATTCGAAACTGAAACTCGGGAGCAAATATTACATTTTCAAATGTCAATTATTCATTTTTTCTGGTAAGAAACATACTGAATAGATGGTGGAAAAGGAAATTGAAAATCTTTAACGCATATATTTAGTTTAATTACTCACATATCCAAGAAGGTTGAGAGAGTTGGTCTGATAAAAACCAGTGTTCTTCTTGCCACTTAAAATCTCTAACAACAATACCCCAAAGCTGAAGACATCTGATTTAATTGAAAAGATGCCTTCCAAAGCATACTCAGGAGCCATATAGCCACTGTATCTCATATGAAAAATCAAAGTAGTTTAGTAGCTTCGTGGTTAAAAACATATGCAATAGCAACTGCTTTCTATTGTTCACTTACTAAGTCCCAACTATCCGACAGGTTGCTTGTGATCCATTTCCTGCAAAAATTTTTGCCATTCCAAAGTCTGAAATTTTAGGGTTCATGCCTCCATCCAACAAAATGTTGCTGGCCTTCAAATCTCTATGAATAATTTGTAACCTAGAAAAGTGGTGGAGGTAAAGTAGACCTTGAGCAATTCCTTCAATGATGCTAATGCGAGTTCTCCAATCAAGTACACCATGCTTGGTTGAATCTGTTTTGATTTAAATTAGGGGAATAGACAATAGGCAACTTTGTAGTTATAGAAGGAACATAAAATTGAAGGAAAAATGTTCATATGTAATTGAAAAGTAGGAAAGTTGAATACCAAAGAGGAAAAAATCCAGGCTTTTATTCGACAGATACTCATAGATAAGAATCTTTTCATCTCCTTCAATGCAGCAACCGAGAAGTTTCACAAGATTCTTGTGTTGAAGTTTAGCGATAAGCATTGCCTCGTTTTTCAACTCATTCCATCCTTGACCAGATCTTCTTGAAAGCCTTTTTACAGCTACCTCATGTCCATTTAATAATTTTCCCTGAAATGTAACACATTGTTTAGTTTCTCCTCAAAGGCATAAATCTAGTCTCTGAAGTTATATCTTCAACTCCCCATTCCCCTCAGAAGTAACATTCTAGATGCAAATCAATAACCCACTGAATATTTAGCAAGTATTACTTAACCAATGATCATTCATTCAGTTGAAATTTTTGATGTATCTATATTACCTTGTATACAGGTCCAAACCCACCCTCTCCAAGTTTATTTGAGGAAGAGAAGTCGTTGGTAGCAGCAGATACACTAGAAAAATTGAATAGTGGAATCTCAACTTCCTTGTTATCTTTCCTGGGCTTTTTTGGTTCAGTCTCATCATGTTCGGTGGCTCCCAGCCTAATGCTGAAATCAAATGATAACAAGTCCTCCCCTGCCATAGCGAAGAGTAAGAAATAGCAATCAGAATTAGTATAAATAGTTGGACTTAATTAGATTATAGCGCCAAACTAAGCTGGCAGGTTGATGGATGTAAAGGTCAACTTCAAGTGGAGAAACTCTAAAAAGGTTGTTCTACAATTGACGATTCATTGTGCAGCAGAACACAAATAAAAAAAATGATTCTAAAAGAAAACAAAACTAACTCGCTTCCTCAACTGCAAATAGAATCATAAAGATTTCAGACCTCTTTTTCTGCTTTTGTTCCTTTGCACTCGACAGATGAGCATTGATAAAGAAAGAATTGTCAGAGTAATGGTTGGTGTTATGATAATCCACAACTTCCTCTTAGTTCTTCTGCGTTCTGCATTTGTATCTGCTGTGATAAAATTGTTTGTGAAAATTTTATTTCAAAATGTACCTCAATAATCTAACTGTGAAAAGAGACTTCTTTTAGGACTCTTACTTTCAGTAACCAAATCAGCACCAGCAAGTTTGAGGTAAAAATCTCTTCCACTTGCCTCTGTATCTGACAGTTTTTGCATATTTATTAAATTAAGATCCTTGCCCCAGATTGTACAATTCTTATCGAAATAAGAATAAGCAACACATGAGCAGTTATTCAAGCAAGATAACCGACAGGCATCAATGCTCTGAACTGCTACAGCCATTGGACTCTGTGGCGGTCTCACTTTGGGAAGCATTTTAAATCCATCTCCTAGACCCTGGGAATTATTGTTATTGCCACATTGCAAATCAGTTCTTCTAGTACACCCTCCAGAATAATCTGCTTTATTCCATTGCTCCTGAGAGTGTGGTCCGAATCCAGGTAAGCAATCACAAAATGGTAAAGGCTCCTCATTGCAGATCCCAAATGCCCCACAAAAAGCATAAACTTCGCATCGTTCTCTTGGTTTCGACCAGAAGGTCTTCCATTGTTTTGAACTTTCTAGCCACGATGATTGTTTCAATTGGCCTGATATATCCATTACATCCCTAGAAATAACACTTTTATCATAGAGATGATAGGTGCCAAAAGTCGTGTTCCCGTTAGAAACATAGGTGACATTATATAACTTATTCAACTTCATTTCGGGAGTCATGTTAAAAATCTGGCCATTCCAAGCCCCAGACTTCCAATAAATTTGTAAACCATTCATGATTACGATCGATCTTGTTTCTGCATCCCACATGAAGGTGAAATTTCCAGGACTAGGATCTTCAGTACTTTTCCAAGACACGTATGACCACTTTCTTCCTGAACTTTTATCATACCCAAGCTTCATTCCAGGCAAGTATGTATCAGAAGGGAAGTCAAAGCTCTGCCATAAGAGATTCAAGTTTTCATCTCTCAGAACAAGATTTCCAGTATCCAAAATTGTAGCACTCACATTCTTATACGGTGATATATTTGTCACCTTGTAAGATATCTTGCCCTCCAAAATCACAAGGTTACCATCATCACTAACTGTAAGAGCTGCAGAAGAAGTGAAAAATGAAAAGTCTCGGTTTCCCACCCATACAACAGTTTGCTGCTCGACTTTCTTATACCAGATACCTAAATAGTAAATGGCTGAATTCCCAGGGGAAAAGAATCCCAGCTCAAACACTTCGCCTTCTGAAACAATTGTTTCAGAGTTGGTAATATATTGCCCTGATGAGAGGGTGTCTTTTGCTGCACTCGGGGATATCAAGCTGTGGCATGAGAATATCAGTAGAACTAGGTAAAAAAATCCACTTCTTGAAATTTCTATGATCTCCATAAGCAATCAAAATAGGCAAATTCAGTTTATTCTAATTCCTAAATGTTGGAATAACAATTCCACATCTTCTGATTGCAACTTTCTCAGATCATAAAACTCTGCAATTAAAGAAAAAACTTTTAATAGATAAACACTCCCTCAATTTTTAACCTGACAACTAACCAAACAAACACAATTTTAAAGTCTAGTACATGCTCTTTGACAATAGTAAGGCAGTTAACATTTATTCTTGGATGAGCAAAATCAAAAAAACCATGGCTGCCATAAACAAACTGGTTTTGCCCTACAAAGCATAACACCATATGAACAATGAAACAGTGACCTGGAGGTGGATATGATGGAGCAAGCTAAGCTACAGTCTGTAGAGGGTGAAGGCGACGGAGCTGAGGCCATCTCGGAGGATGACGTGGTGATGCCGAATGCCGTCGATGTAAATGGCGCTAAGGTGATATCCCGAGATGATGAAGTGGCTAGCTACTGTGTCGAACCAAACTACTCAACAAAAATGGGAGATGAAATAGTTAGTACAAGTATCGAGGTAGTTGAAGAGTCAGAGGATATGGGCGAAAATCTGAATGGGTCTCGTGATTCAAATTCAAATACATCAAGGCTGGGAGAAACAAAGAAGGTAGGGGTTCACCTAGAAACGCCAGTCAACATAGCTGAACAAGGGGACGTTGGGAATGCCAGTCAAATGAGCAAAAATGTAGCTGTGGACAGCTATGACATGTCCAATCAAAATAATAATATTGAAGTAAGCGGAATGGGCTGTGGGGTTGGAAGGGAAGTTGGGTCTCCTACCACCAGAATGGGCTTAAAAATGGTCATAGGTCCAAATCATAAGGCTGAAATAGGCTTACATGCGACATAAACTGCAAATCCAATGGAGCAAAGCACGAAGAACGACAGGAAATCCAATTTAAAGAACAATGAGTCTACCTCTTGTTTCTGGGATGATATGGAAAGTGACTTGGGGAACGACTTAAACTGGATGAAAAGGAGTGACATGTGCGGGAGAAGGAAGAGTAAGCGAAGGGCAAAATCATGCACTTCGGTGTACAGAAAAACTGGGGGATTGGAGGGATTCTTGATTCAATACAAGAGGAAAGGGCAAAGGAAAGACTCTTTAAAGTGCTCGAAGCAGATTCTATTCAAAAATAACCCAGAGAAATTGGTTGCAGATGAATCGATCAATGACAGCAACATCCAAAATTGCAACAAAAGCTTTAAACAGAGGAGCAACACACGGAACATGGAGGCTCTATGGTCCCGAGCAAAAGAGTTAGGAGTGACAGCACGTGGAGAGGAGAATCAGATTATGCAGAAATTGAAAGAGATGGAAAGCCGAGACAGGGGAAGGCGAAGGAACGAAGAGGAGAAGAATTCCGAGAAAGATGACCAGGTGATGCCTCATTTCCCATGATTTTACTATCAATTAATATTAGAGGATTAGGTGGGATAGGAAAAAAAAGGGAGATTCGGGATTTGGTGGTTAAACAGAAGGTAGATGTTTTGCTAATTCAAGAAACCAAAATGGAGAAAGTAGATAACCGCCTGTGTAGGATGGTTTGGGATTCTGATAATTTTGAGTGGGTTGCTCAGTCTGCTATTGGTGCATCAGGAGGTATACTAATAATATGGAACTCTAGCGTCTTCAAAAAGATTAGCAGTTTTGAAGGTGCAGGATTTGTGGGAGTCTTTGGGCTGTGGGGAGATGATAACACCCCATGTTATTTTGTTAATGTATATTCCTCATGTGATCTGGTTCAAAAGAGATGCTTGTGGGAGAATTTATCAAAATTGGTTACTTCAAAAAAAGGGAACTGGTGTATAGCTGGAGACTTTAATGCCATTCGAAACCTCCAAGAAAGGAAGGGAGGCAGAAGTGTGAGGCGTGAGCTCAAGGAGTTCAATGACTTTATTGAGATGAGCAGTTTGGTAGACCTTCCTATGATTGGGAGGAAATTTACTTGGTACCAGCCAAATGGCCAAAGCATGAGTCGCTTGGACAGGTTTCTTTTTTCTAGTGAATGGATGCTTAATTGGTCCGACTTGAAGCAGTGGGGGTTAGTCAGGTCATTGTCGGATCATTGCCCAGTCATGGTGAAGAATGAAGCACGTAATTGGGGACCAAAACCATTCAAACTATTTAATGTGTGGCTGCAAAATCCTTCATTTAGAGAATTGGTAGAAAATCAGTGGAACAACTTAGATATTCGAGGATGGGGAGGTTTTGTGGTAAAGGAGAAACTAAAGCGGTTGAAAAATTGTGTGAAGGGCTGGACACGGAATCAGGTGCAGGGAGTGGATAAACATATTGAGGAGGCAAAAGCTAAAATTGCAAAACTAGATGGTAAAAGGGAATCTCAGTAGCTAAGCGATGAGGAATGTCTCCGTAGAAGAGATATGATGATATGCCTATGGGAAAATATTCAAATCAAAGAGGATATGGCAAAGCAAAAGTCAAGGAAGTCATGGATGAAAGCCGGGGATGCAAACACAAGTTATTTCCACCAGTGCATAAAAGGTAGATGGCGCAGGAGCGAGATAAACTCGTTATCAATCCGAGGAAAGGTTTTTGAGGGAGTCAACGAGTTGAAACAAGGAGTGGCAGAATACTTCATGAGCTTATTCACAGAGGAAGGTTGGAATCGGCCTGTTCTAGATGGTGTCAACTTCAAGAAAATTTCAGAAGCCGAGAGAAACTTCTTAACTGAACCTTTTCTTGAAACAGAAGTTAAAGATGCTGTATGGAATTGTGATGGTGCAAAAGCCCCAGGTCCAGATGGTTTTACTTTCGGGTTTTTGAAAACAGAATGGGATGTGGTTAAAGGTGACATATTGAAGTTTCTTACTGACTTTCATAGCAACAGCAAGTTGGTGAGAGGATCCAATTCATCTTTTTTAGTGTTGATACCTAAGAAGGAGAATCCACAAAGCATTGAAGAGTATAGGCCAATATCCTTAATTGGAATTATGTATAAAATTCTTGCTAAAATCCTTGCAAATAGATTAAGTAGGGTGATGGATGGGATTATAGGCGAACAACAATCAGCTTTTATCGGAGGCAGACAGTTGGTTGATGGAGTCGTCATTGCAAACGAGGCTATTGAGGAGATTAAGAGGAAAAAATTGAGTTGCTTCCTTCTCAAAGCCGACTTTGAAAAAGCCTATGATAATGTCAGCTGGGAGTTCCTGGATTATATGCTGGAAAGGATGAATTTTGGGTCTGTTTGGAGGGGGTGGATCCGCGAATGCTTGCAAACTAACTCAATCTCAGTATTGCTCAATGGTAGCCCAACAAAGGAGTTTGTCATGAGTAGAGGATTACGGCAAGGGGACCCGCTAGCTCCTTTTTTGTTTTTAATTGTTGCGGAAGGCCTCAATGGTATCATATCGTCGGCAGTTGCGAAAGACCTCTTCGAAGGGGTCCCAATTGGAGGAGGGGGCTTTCGCATCTCCCATTTGCAGTTTGCAGATGACACCCTATTAATAGGGAGAGCAACGGAAGAAAATATCTGGACTACAAAATGCATTTTGAGGGCTTTTGAGTTGGTGTCCGGGCTGAAAATTAACTATGGGAAAAGCTCACTGATAAGCATAAATACAGGTAACCTATGGGAAAGGGACATGGCATGTCTGTTGAACTGTAAAGTGGGGTCCTTGCCATGTAAGTACCTGGGTATTCCTTTGGGAGCGGATCCTAGAAGAGTGAATACATGGAAGCCACTAATCGACACTTTCAAAAGAAAATTATCTTCTTGGAAGGGCCGATACCTATCCTTGGGTGGTAGAATAACTCTCATAAATTCTGTGCTGTCCAGTCTACCAGTGTTCTTAATGTCTTTCTATCTCCTTCCGAAAAGCGTCATCGGTGAGTTAGATAAAATTAGAAGAAGATTTCTTTGGGGGGGGACAACGGAGACAAAGAAGGTTGCTTGGGTTGCGTGGGAGAAGGTTTGCCTAAGTAAGCTTGATGGGGGGTTGGGTATAAAGAATTTATTGTGCTTTAATATGTCATTACTGGGAAAATGGTGGGGAAGATTGATTACCGAGAAGGGGGGATTGTGGAGGAGAGTTTTATTTGACATTTATGGGAGTGATGAGGGGAATTGGTTATCTTACTTAAGGGAGGGTAGATGTGTAGGATCAAAATGGTGGAGGGATGTTTGCAAGATAGATGAAGGGAAGGGTTTTAAAAAGGATTGGCTGAGTTTGGGTTTTGGTGTGGATTTGGGGGATGGCGAGAAGGTTAAGTTTTGGACTGATGTGTGGGTAGAAGGGAATGCTCTATCTAAAAAATTCCCTCGTTTATTCCTACTAGCTACAGATCAGAATTGCAGCGTCAAAGACATGGGGTCCTGGTCGAAGGATTGCTGGCAATGGAAATTCTCTTGGAAACGCCCACTTCGTTCATGGGAGGAGGACATTGAAAAAGAGTTGGTTAAGATGCTGAAATTAAGAGCTCCATCACAAAACAAGGAAGATCGATGGCAATGGCACCTGGAAACTTCAGGGACCTACACAACAAAATCAGCTTACTCATGGATCCTTAAGGGAGAACCAAAGCCAGCAACTGACTTCATAAGGGTGTGGAAAGCCCCCATTCCACCTAAAGTAAGTGCATTTTGCTGGCAATTGCTTCACAAGAAAATTCCTACAAAAGATAACCTTTCAATCCGAGGAATTTGTAATGCAAACTCTAATTTAAATTGCTGCTGGTGTGATTCATCAATGGAGACGCCCAATCATATTTTTGCTCAATGCAATGTGGCTGTTAGCTTATGGATGAAATGCTACAAGTGGTGGGGCGTGCAATATGTACTGGATAATTCATGTTTAATGTTTTTTGAGCAACATAAATGGCTTGGAGGTCCGAAAATACTTGATAGGGGATGGAACATTATCTGGTTCGCAGTAATATGGACATTGTGGCTGGGCAGGAACGAAAAGATTTTCCAGATGAAGGAGACAAAGCTCGACAGATTCTTTGAGCTAGTTCAGATTCGATCTTTCTTTTGGGTAACGAACATTCAAGGTGTGGAAGGGTTCTCTTTATCTGAATGGTGCGAGAATCCAACCAAATGTCTTAAGAATAACCCCGTCCGGAAAGATAGTGTTTGAACTGGTCTTTTTGTTTTAACTAGTCTTTTGGGAAAGTTGGTTTTATTTTCTTTGTTGGGTGTTCTACCCTCGCTCCCTTAGTGTTGCTAGTTTTTTAAGTAACAAGTTGGTTTTTGTATACTCGGGTTTGAGTACCCCTTGTACTCATCAAATAAATATATTAATATTCTTTTGCCTTTCAAAAAAAAAACAATGAAACAGTTTTCTTATATAAATGAATGATTTGAAGAGCAAAAA